CTGGGTCAAATGCAAATATTTATTTCCCCAAGCCATCTTTGGACTAGAGCCCATACCCCCTTCTCTAGCATTCCTTAACTGAATCTGGAGATAGCAAAACAGGAAAACAAATTTGACTTTAATTTTAGGTCACACAAATGTTTATGATGTTCTGACAGGAAAGAAAAACTGGTATATAGCCTGCAAAAGTTCAGGCAGCTCATGATACTAAAACAGTGAACTGCTGGGAGACTGACAGCAAGGGCTGAACCATTACATAAGTGGCTGCCAAAGAGCTCCTGCTCTGGTTTACAGGAATGAAGCAAGCAGGGTGTGGTAACTGCTAAAAAACAAGTGGGCAACGGACCCTTTTTCAGCTCCTTGTTCCATTGAAAACCACATTTTGAGACACAGATTTTTGAGAACTGCATTTAGAAATCTCAGTTCAAAGCATGCAAGACATTTCTGATGAAAATCAGAAACTATGTGCAGCTTTTCTTGCCATTTATACACAAACACCATCAAAATGAACATCCTCCATAATTACCATCCAAACTTAACATTGCCCTTTGCATCAGAAATTTGGACAAATCTTGGAAACAAAATTAGTGAAACCACAGGCTATATTCTTTTGGGTTTAGTGGAAACAGAACTTGACCTTTACAATGCAACTTGAAAGAGACATCTGTGCCTCTACATAATCTGAATAGCTCTGTCAATCAGTTATCCCTGAATTGGTAAGCACACACAGAATATTGTATAAAAAAATAAAGCTGCACTTTGGGACAATGTGGCATAACTGCAGACCAATGCCAAGAAGCAAGCCAAGAAAGATGACTTTAGAGCAAGGAAGTTAAAACTGAAGTGTTCTACTAGCTCGGAAACCTCAAGAAATATGTAAATATCTAAGAATTACAAACAAAATACTTCAAGGTTATGATCTATAGAAGAAGATCTAGAGGACTGTTTCATGTGAAAATGACAACCGGGCCTGAGGTGCAAGTGAAGATCTACAACAGCAAATGATTTGTCTTACAATAGATAACACTGTTTCCTCCCTTAATGTAACAAGGCAAATGAAAATCATTAAGTTACTATGTGTCAGCATTTTTTCTTTTAAACACAGAACCTAGAGACTACCTAACTCCCAAGTGAATACCAGCAAGGTGCTGGCTGCACAGGCTCCTTTGCAGACTAATCCATCACTGCACGATGATTAAGAGTTTTGTTCAGTGAACTGTTAGGACATGTGGAAAAACTGGATGAGAAAGGAGATGAAGTACATTCATTAGCAACATGCTGTCCATTCCCTCTCCTACCTACCTATCTCTTAGTTGAGAAGGTTGAGCTTTGGAGACCAGAATAACCACACTGATCTAATCTACTACAGAAGTTTCAGACACTGGCATTAAAATAGCCATTATGCTCCAGACACCAATGAAGTTTCTAGCTTCTATCAGTATTTCACACAGAAAATTCCCTGTATGTGTTCCAAATAGACACACAGGTGCTGTTTAACACCTTTGAAATATGTTTTTCTGAATAGATCCCCTAGAGACTATGAATTGTGGTAAAGAATGTACGCCTTCAGTGTACACCTGCTGCATTAGAATGATTTGTTTGCTCAAGACACCACTCCACTTGCAGGCTCTGTGCTTCAGTCATCAGCACCGGAAGAGTAATTCTTCTGAAAACAGTCAGATCTGAGGCTTCTGGCATCCAGGTTACCCAAGGAACATAAACACTAAGACAAATGGTTGGCTTCTCCGAAAACAAGTGTTACACTGTTTTCAGAGTTCTGCTCTTGAAGCACAGGAAGTCTCTCCAAGTACCATGCAGGAAAGTAATGTTTTTATCTCATTTCTGAGTGTTAATGTCTTGGGTAAGAGAAAGCAAAAAAAAAAAAGAGAAAAATCACTTTGAACATATTCTCCATCATGTTATGGTTTCAAGGAAGTACTTCTGGTTAAATTTAACAAAAAGCAATTTAACCTCTTGGGATATATAAATGCCACATGAGTTTTTGTGAATGGTGTAACCAGGGTAGACACAGAAAGAGGAACAAGCTCACCCACAGTGCATCAGCACAGATGCCTGAAGAGGGTTAAATAGTTTCTGGATTCAACCAGCAGAGGTTGGAATAAAGCTCTCATCTTCCTCTCCCTTCCCAATTCCTTTCCTGATGAACATCCCTTTGAATGCCCTGCTTATTAGAATACCATAAATTGACTGAAAACAAACAAACAAAAAAAATTCAGAGTCCAAATCAATTAACATGCAAGGCTTTTCCGCTCTGTCACCTTAAGAGATAACTATACCCCATGCTGACAGAAGTCAGAGTCAACAGCTTGCTATCATTCTCCAGATCACGAAGGATTCCTGGTCTTCAGGGTTCTGAAAGTAACCTAGGGAAGGCAGCCTAATCCTAAATGCCTCCGGCTCATGTGGAGCACCGGACCCTTTCATCTTCTATTCTCTGTACAGATTCCTGCCATACCACTGGCTGCTGCACCAAGTCTCCCCCACCACTAAGCAAAACTGAGAAAGTGGAATAGGAATGTTGCTCTCCATTGCCCTAGAGGCTAGCCAGGAACAGAGACGCTGCAACAACCTACTTGCCCTCACCCCCAGTAGCAGACATTGGAATCCTCCTGTTACCCTTTGCAATTAGGAAATAAGGCAGCAAATAATCCTAAAACGATCTCTAGGGTTCTTGCTAGCACACATATGCACATGTGAAGGGACGCACACACAAAGATCTTTCCAAACCTAGCTAAACAGGTCAAAGCAGGCTAGTTCAAAAGGTAATTGGGAATGATACTCACATCCAACAAGTGTTCCAAAAAGTCAGTGACAAGATATCTCAAACCAGGCAAAGAGCTGGGATAAACCTTTAGACTGTCAATAGTGCTGAGAATATTGCATAGCTAGAATTGTTCTGGGAAAGGTAAACACTCCAGTAGAGCTCATAGCAACTTTACCATGCTAGGAAAACAGAGGCAGGGCTACCATTCTTTAGCTAAGTCTGGGATTTCTGAGTTTTAGATATCACTCAAGCAGCAGTGTGACAGAGACAACTTCTCTTTTCAAAAGGAAAGAAAATAGCCATTTAGATTAATCACTAGCTTTGAACCATCATCAGACCAGGGAAGGTCACCTGTCCCTTATTGCAGAATTGCAGCTGCCTGGATATCCACTGCCACATACTGATATATCTTGCATGCGTCTTGTCCTTCATCCCTGCATGTGCAGTTCCAAATGGTTTAACTTTTGTCTATAGAGGGAAAAGGACTTCTTCAGTCTCCTTACAACAATGCCAAAGAAACTGTTTCTGATTCTACATAGAAAAGATTTCTTTTTAGGGAACAGTAACTCTGGTAGAGTTACGTCAATAGCTTGTTTAAGAAAAATATATGTTGGTACTTGAGCTGACAAGGAGTGAGCAATGGAAAGTAGGAAATAATAAAGGAAGTGAAACAGTGATAAGAGGTTTATGGACAACCATGCAGCCACGTATAGTTTAGGTGGTGTATCTGTCCTTGTCCTTCATGTCAGATCCAGTCTTTGCCTGAGGAAAGTGAGGTCCTATATAGGTCCAGGTTCACAGTTTGGGTTTTTTTTCCCCTCTGGATACAGCATTCCTTTCAGAGTAACACATCAGTAGTATAATTGTATTTCTTCAAGATCTGCCACATCTTCAACAAATTGCCATCAGGACCCTGCCACCAGTCCACTACAGCAAGTCTGTATGGCTCACTCCTCCTCACCCCAAGGCTTTTACAAATAATAGCTTAATCAATCCATCATGTTAGCTCTCCCATATGCTCTGCATGCCACCATACTTCAGCAACCTTTCCCAGATTTCTCCACACGTAAAATTTGTTTGAACACAGCTAAGTGAGAGGAGTTTTTCTTGCTCCCTTTCCACTCTTTACAACCATATTGTTGTAGTCCTCCTATGCTTGGAAGTGCAAGTGGTAGTGAGGACAGGGGAAAAGCAGAACTCTCTAAAACTGAGTCTAATTAGAATTTTAAAGCATGGTTTTATTATATCTGGCCTTTGTTCAAAAAAGCAAGGCTAATGACAAGACCTAGAAGAGACAAACCCATTCATCATGGCTAGTCATCAGAAAATAACGGAGTAATCAAATTCATAGAAGCCATGCCAAATCAAACTGTCCATTATATCCTTTAAACCTTACAAAGCATACCTCTTCATATAACCCATCTACAAAGAGGAAGAAAGGCACAAAAAACCTCCATACCTGAACACTCTCCAAGTATCTCAAAAACAAGCATTGACTCTGTCAAAGACCCCCTCTCAAAAGGGGGGATATTAACAGACATTCAGGGCTTCATATTTAAAAGTCCTCAACTGACAAACAAGCAGCAGATAATATCTATGGTTCTTTACTTCTCATTTATATACATGGAGGGGGGTGTGGTCAATCTGCTTGCTTTCTTTTATTCTATGAAAAGCCAACAGATGTATTTAATATTGCCTGATAGTAAGTTTTATTCTTAACAGAATAAGAATGTAACCAAACAACTCCTGATCACTAGAACTACCACTGACCATAACACTTCAAAATGCAGGTTATACTAGGCTTGTTTTACCCAATCAGACTGTATGACTGGATTTTAAATATTTTTGTTAAAAGCCTCTATCAACCAATACACATAGTTGCCCACCTACAGCTATCGTTCCTATGCTTATCACTGGGAGAGAAAGTTCACTACCTTGGTTCTCCTTGCCTGCTTCTCTGAACCCCATGCATTCATACTAGTCTGTTCTTTATGTCAAGTTTAGCTCTTGCCAGACTCTTTGTAAGGTTCTTCAACCCACTAGAGCAGGAGAAAGCTATTCACCTGAACACAAAAACTGGTATCAAGTAGGTGTCTGTAAGCAAGGACAGAGGGGGCAACAATGCCTTGAGAGCAGTGAGGAGCTGTTCTCCTACAGTGTTTTGGCTGCAACCTTGACTGGGGATTTCAGCAAGAGTCATTATCTCAGCACTCACCTTGCATCATACTCCTGTAGGCTGTGTCTGTGATGGCATAGATATGAGGGGGCATCTCATGTCTCTTTTTGCCCTTGTACATTTCCACTATTTCCTCCGAGTATATGGGCAGGTTCTTGTAAGGATTGATTACCACGCAGAACAGGCCTGAGTAGGTCTGGAAAGAAAATATCCCAGCAAATAAAAACAGGAATTAAAAGTGTTGTATACTTGCACATTTTGACACTATCTTACTTGGAAACAAACCAACCAACCAGTCCTTTTTTAAGTGCTTCTTCCAGTGATGCCATGAGGGATGCTTTCCACTAAGCAATATCAGAATCTGAGCAACAGCTAAGTCATATCAACTTGACTAGTACTCAACCGTTCCAAGTATGCACAGAGCATCATGTGACACATTAGGCACACTGATATCAAACTGGCCTGCTCCCTGGTGAATTAACAGTCTGCTGGGACTGGCTTTTCTTCCTTTCAAAGTTCCTACATTCAAGTCAAGTGTTTTTTTCATTACATAAGGTAGGTGCTCAGCCCCTAGAAACATGCATTTTATTATGTTCTGCCTCACGTTTGCTATGGATTTATCCAGTAACTGATCAACTTCAACATAATAAAACTTCAAGCCAAAATAGTTACTAAAAGAAAAATAAGATCAGTGTACTCCTTAGAGGTTTTCAAGATCACTGGACTAGGCTGAATTCAGTGCTGACCCTGCCCTAAACAGGAAGTTGGAGAAGATGGCCTCCTGAAGACCCTTCCAGCCTGAACACTTTCATTATTTATAATGTAAAAGGTATAACTAGAACTGGATTCTAAACTGTAAGATCATTAATGAGATATAGTTCTGAAATAGTTAATATAGAAAACAATTCTAAGCTATTCCATGCTCAAAGAGTCAGCAATATTTGCCAAAGTTTACTTCTAATTCATCTCAAATGGTTAATTCATTGATCCATGACAGAAAACCTTGATTTCTCAATTGGTTTCCACTGGCTTAAATTCTACAGTTCTACGGAAGACAACCATCAAAATACTTCTAGTGAAAATCTTAAGCTACTTAAAAGAAAAAAAAAAAACCACAAAACTTTGAGATCTGAACACCTAAAAAAAACACCCTAACAAACATTTTACTTGCAAAGGGAATAGGAGGAGCAGAGGCTTCTTAGATATTTCCTAGATGTTCTAAGAATAGCATTGCAAGCCTTGCTCCTGGGGTTTAGAGCTACCCTAGTTCCCTGTCAATTTTAGAGGCAGCTGTTCGAAATACCTGGAGAGGAGCAGATTTCTACAGTAACTTGCAGTGCTACCAGAAAAGAGTACATTTGGCACTTTTTATTTCTATTGCTACCATCTCTTCTATTGTTTGCTCAATGAAGAGTGCTTCGGAGTGGTAAAGGGTTCCCCGCAATGAGCACTGAGAGTACTTAATCAGATTTAGCCTCTTTAGCTAGATAAAGGTAAGGATTAGACTACAGTGATCAGAAGGGTGAAAATAGAATCTACTACACAGTTTTATGGACTTGTATCCGAATTTTCTGCCTGCTGGCTTAACATTAATTAGCCCACTCTTATATGCAGCAGACTCAGCTGTCCCCCAGAAAGCAAAATTTTTTATAGGTAATTAAGGTTCCTTTTCCATACCCCAGGATAAACTATCAGGAAATGTTTCCAGACATAATTTTTTAAAAAAATAAAAAATAAAAATTTGAGGAATATTTGAATAGCTTACAGAAAATACTCCATCTCCTTCCAAAGTGGGAAACTACGGAAGTTGGCTAAAAACCTTTTAGTGTAGGACTTCTAAAGTTCCAAGAAGCTAAGCTTCAGTGAGACATTCTAGTCAAGTTAGGTTTGAGGTAGTGCTTGAAAGGAACAGTTTACGGATTTTGCAGAAGCCAACTTGGCAATGCTAGTTCCTTTTGCCTCAGCCTTAGTTCTCCATCATGTCAGACAGTAATTGTGCAGCACAGGATAGCAGCTGAAAGACTGGGTCATGCTTTTCTGACCTTTGACTACGCTAGTGGAAGACAGAGTAAGACCAAGAGGTAGAAAGGAGTCAACTCAAGAGTAGCATGTTCACTGTACATGCAATACACCTTTTCCTTATACTGGCATGAAAATAATTGACATCAGAGTCAACTGAAAATTACAGCTTTTCTTCTAACAGTTATCAGAGTTCTGGAAAACAAGTAAACAAGGATCCTCTAGGCTGCCAGTGCCAGCTGTCTACATTAGCAACCATATTGCCCCAAATCCCATGGCAGCAGCAACATGCATGTAGTAATCAAAAGAAGATGCCCTGTACAGTCCCTGTTCCCCCCTGCAAGAAAACCATAACTCATGCCAGAGACCAAATGTACCTATCCTTAGAAGATGTTACCAAAGCTAAATGCCTGTTTGCTGCTTTTGGGGGATTAGAAGTGACAGCAAAAGAAAAGTGGTGGCAAGTACTGTGGTAAAATTCCACAAGGAATGTAAAGTTTTCTTCTGTATTTGTGTGAATTTTTATGGCCATGTTTGCTGACAAATTATAATTGTCACTCTTCAAGTAAGAATTGTGTAAAGGTCTGAAGCTGAACTGAAGCAGTATTATGGATGAGAGCAGCAGTTTAGAAAACAGAAGACATTAATTTCCATTAGAGTGATGAAGCCATGAAGCAGGTATGCAGGAAGAAGCCATCACCTTCTTCCAGCATTCTGGTTGCCAGGAGAAATACCTAAGAGAAGTTTCCTTGCAGCATAATGATCTCAGACAGATGTGTGAGGTAATATTTCTGTCTAATAAAGAGGCAACTAATCAGGCTGGGACAGGCAGCTGAGTGAGACCACCATGTCACCACCAAGCACACTGAGTTGTCTAATAGGAATAAAGCAAGTTGAACTATATGGAGCAGAAGCTGCCAGCCCTACCACAGAAGACAAGAGTCATCTTCATCTTACTAAAGTACAAGGAAAGACTTATATGCATAAATCCCTGAATTGAACCCAAGGCCCCAACTGAAAGGCTAATCTATTATAAGCATAGCTGGCTTGGAAATCCGTACTTTGTTTCAGACATTACTATCTCAAAATAGAATTCTGGCATTACCTTTCACTAACTATTTCAAGTGACACATGGGCCAAACTGGAAGTAGTTTTATTTTTCTAACTGCTAAACTAGCTCTGAAGAGCTGAAAGAACCATTTGCAGCATGGCACAAAGCTGACAGCATCAAAAAGTTTCTTTCCAGCAACAGTTAGAAGAACTCAATTTATTATAGTCACAGACTATGTCTGAAATTTCAGAGGATATCTTGCAAGATATGTGAAACAGCCCATTGCGTTGTGTGCAAAAGACTTTGAGAGGCTGTTGAATTATTTTCAACAACTTATTACATAACCTAGCAATGTTTCCTGTTCTAAAACTGTTACACATGATCTTGCACATCCTATTTCATCTCAATATCAAGATTCTTCCCTCTGAAAATGGATTTTGACCAATAGTCAACAGAGTTATTGACTACAAGGAATAATTAACTGCATCAACCTCCAACCACATTAGGTCTCAAAATTTTGAGATCAGATGGTGGGAGTCAGACCAAATTTGTATCAGCTTTGCATTCTTCCAGTGTTCTCTGATAATTTCTGCAGCAGTTGTCTATACACCTTCATGCCACTCCAGAACAGCAGTGGTCACAGGACTAGCCAGAGCCAGAATTTTTAGCTTGTGTTCATGCTCCTTAACATAGGAGGCAACAGTTCACAAAGGTTTCTATCCAAGATGGATAGCTAGGGTGACTTCCTGCTATGTGGTGTCTTAGATACCAGCAGTCCCTGTTGGGGACTTACAACTTGCCACATAAGATGACTACATAAAAGATTATATCCCTTTGGACATGACGAAGTAGTACGCATTCACAAAACCCCCAAACATACAGGTAGATATTGCAGAGAGTTTTTACTTATGTTGTCTTCTCCATATGACAAGAGAGGCAGCTTTTGGGTTTTGGCAGCACAAAATGGAGCAGGGAGAATCTAGACAGACTTTCTTAAGTACTGTATTAATATACATGTTTACATATGAAATTATTCTTTAATACATTTTATTTTAATAAATCTTCTGATCTACTGTGAAGAAGATTTTATAGTGCCTAACAATACTGAACATCCGGCATTTCTACATCCCTTAGGTTTCTGTCTCAGGCAGTCCCATTTTAATTCTGTTAGCAGATGCTAGTCTGAGAATAAACCAACCAAGAAACACTAGTTCCTGTTTTAACCAGCCACTGCACCCAAGTTTTAATTTACTGCTGAGTTTGAGCATTCGTTCTATGCATGCAGAGTATTAATGAAGTAGAGGCTATCATGACCAACATTTGATGGCTAAACAGAGGTCATATGAAGAGGAAAATCAGAAGGGAACTGAAGAACCAGGTCAAGGTTCCAACATCTCCTTCCCCACCTTTCCCTATTTATTGCTTTTGGTATTCAGTGAAGTAGTTGCTGCATGCTTCATTGGGTATGATCGTTGGTTCCATAAATGGTATCTTTGTCATTTCCACAGCAATAAGAAGCAGGAATCTCTGCTCTTGTCCATTTTGGGGTGGAAAGAAAAGGAAATATTTCCTATCTGTAAACACAAGCAGCCACATATGTGCCTTCTCTAGTAAGGCACTCCGAGATCCAGAATTTTTGTAACACAAAAAGCTTGGCATTAGCATCTTTCCCACTGAAGCTCCAGACATGGGCAAATGCAGTTCAGATGTTAGGTATATTGCGTGAGACTGTATTTTTATTATTTGGTTCAGTTCAGATCAGAATCCCTGTTTACCACTTTCCAACTGCTTTCACTTCTTGCTAAAAGAAAGTTAAATGGCATTCAAAACATCATACAAATGAAGACATTAAGGTGTTAAAGACAGATTTACCACAGCATTCCTTGAAAGCTTCAACATTAACTAGAGGGGGATTGGCATAGTTTAGTGAAAAAATTTTAAGTAGAGGGAAGAAGCTAAGTCACATGAGAATTGCATATAGGGCAATGAAAGGTTAACCTACAGATTTTTGAAGCAAAACTATTACAGCAAGTTCATATATTGCAATCAAGAACTCTTATCCCAACAGACAAGATTACTTACATAAATCAGTCCCGAGTAGTATCTCTCCTTCAAGTTGTGAAGCACAGAAGCCTCATTCAGGCACGTCAGCTCTGCCATATCTTCCACTTTAGAAAATTTGGGGGGGTTCATCTTCTGGATGTCATCCTTATTTACTTTCACTTTCTTCCCATTCTCTGCCAGTTCCACGATGGCTTCATCTCCTACTTCTTCCTTCAGGCTAGCTGCCTCAAACCCATTCTTCTCTGAGGGAACCCATACCAGCTTCTTAGCTGCCCAGTCAGCCTGAGTCAGGGGGTTATTAATGATGTTTTTGTCCACATAAAGGTACTTATCTGCATCTCTTTGCGACATTGTTTTTTAGAATTGGAGACCTGTGAAAAAAGAGGTGAAGAAAAAAAAAGGTAAGAAGATATTTTTAAACACTCAAGTTGCCTTGCAAATTACTAGAGGCAGACGTGCACATGCTAAGTACTCTGAGTCCCTGGTCATCAGAGCATGCCTCCCCTTCCTTTAGTTTCATGTTAGTAAGCAGCGGTAAGTTGTCAAACGTCCAATAAGGTCAAGGTTTTGCTTGCCAAGCAGATGAAAAAAAACCAACAAACTAGCAAGCAGTTAAAAAAAAAAAACCCTACAACAAAACACTGACCGTTAAGCATTTGGAAGACATTATTGGCAGAAAAGAGAAAGCACATTAAAATGGCAAGCGTCAAACAATTTGTAAGATGTGCCAATACTCATAGCATCAGATACTATGTCAGTAACGTTCAGGTCAAGATTAGCTCTTCGCTGCTCTAGTTGGTAGAGATACTACCTCAGAAATATAATCATAAATGTTTAATCGACACTTTCTTCCTATCTTCTTGTTCTGATAAGCTATGAATCAAATACCACAACTTCTTAGAAATGCCATATACCAGTCTAGACAATACATGAGATGCACTGTGCTTCTAAAAGACATCATCGATAATTTGAGTACGCCACTTAAGACTGACATTAGATACTTTCCATCACTGGCTTAGTAGCAACACCCAGCCCACCAGTTTGTATCTTTTTTCTAGATAACATTGAGTAGCAAAACACCTCCAAGACAGTAACAGAATAAACATAGGTCAGGAAATTTTACAGCCAAAAATCCTCTTTTGGGATCCTTCTATGAAACTGTAGTCAGGTAGAGGAGAAAGTACCACCCCTATAAGCGGGAGATTTAGGCAGCATGATCAGAAAACGGCACCCTAGATTTACTCTTTCACCAAAACCAGAACACTACTGTCAGGGATTTTCCAGTTTATAAGGCAGCAATTTTATTGGTGTCATTCAGAAATCCTTTCAATCAGAAGAAAGGACTGCATGCGTCAAGGCTCATTAACCATGTAACAGCAGCCTCTTTACAAGGTCCCATAAACATTACTTCTTGGATCCTTCCTCACAAAGATACCAGTGTCTTCAATATATGTTTTTCATAACTTGGACAGAAGCTAGAGCTCTTTACCACCAAAAGAACAGGAAATTAAAATATCAATATTCACATCATGGAAGGTTGTCAGATCTACAGGGATAACTTTTATACAGAACATACCCATATTTACAAATGAGTCTGCAAATCAAATAGGTGAAGTCTGACTATCGATACCACAGACAAAAAGGTATTGAGAGCAGGACAGAAGCAGTTCAACTCCTGAAATATGCATGAGAGCAACAATAAATGAGTCCCAGCATTAGCAAGCGGCGAATGAAGCCAGAAAAACATCAGCTATAATAATGATGCGCACAAATGCCCACAGCAGTCATTTGTAAGCATGTAATTTCAACAAATGTATCGCTGTAGGTGGTATGCAACTTTGTGCCAGAGACTGTATGGATAGCTGTACACTCAAGAGTCAGACATTCTTTAGCAAACAAAGAGAAAATTACTCTGTAAATAATTGTTTCCTTTAGCTTGAGTTTAAAAACTTTGTCTTAAGCCTTACAGGATATGCCAAGCAGCTACCCCACACTTTACCTCATCTTTCCTTCCCCACAGGGTCACTGACAATGCCACCTTAGTCACCACAACAGTGGTTGCCAGAACAACTACTCCTCCCTGGATTTTCATATTTTTATTGAAAATCCAGACTTTATTGGGTACACCATGATGAGATTTTTGGCAGAGATAAGGTATAGCAATCAGGAGGCTGCCATGAAAAATTTGAGCTACCAAGAGTGCTTCAAGACCACACTATAACAGCTAGCCTGACAGAATATGTAGGAAATTAGAAATAGACCTCACTGCTGTCTACAACTACCTGAAAGGAGGTTGTAGAGGTGGGTGTTGGTGTCTTTTCCCAGGTAAAAAGCGATAGGACGAGAGGAAACCGCCTGAAGTTGCACCAGGGGAGGTTTAGATTGGATATTAGGAAAAATTTCTTCACTGAAAGGGTTATCAAGCATTGCAACAGGCTGCCCAGGGAAATAGTTCAGTCAACACCTCTGGAGGCATTTAAAAGACATGTAAATATGGCACTTAGGGACATGGTTTAGTGGTGGACTTGGCAGTGTTAGGTTTACGGTTGGACTTGATGATCTTTAAAGGTCTTTTCCAACCTAAATGATTCTATGAAATGGAGAAGACTAACAATTCAACAAAAGATATTGAGACTCCATGACACTGCAGAGTATCATCTGCAGGTTGTGGTCAAAGGGTTAAGAAAAGGGAGTGGAGGGAAGGAGGGGAAAAGGAAAAAAATGAAATAAATATTCAATTGTGTTCAGAGTTGTATCAGGTTTGGCAAGGCAACAGCTGTGCTCTACCCTCCATTACACAGTTTCCTGCCTATGCAACTCCCAGAATCTAACCAGTTGCCTTTTTTGGCTATAATCAGGCAGGACACAGAGACAGTATGCTTCAGCTAAATACAGTTTCATCATTTCCTGAGGAATCCTAAGTAACCAGCCATCTGAAGTGTCCTACACTACACTGAAACATATTCATCACTTCTTTAGAGTACATGCATTCAATAGACCTTGGAGATTTATTCTGGGAGAAAGACTAATTCTTTTTGGGTAAGAAATGCATTAGACCACAAGGAAGAAATCTTTCAAGGGGTATCCCCAGACAGATCTAGATCTGAAGAGTACTAAGAAAAAACGATAGCTACAGAGAGGTTGATCAAATCCCTTACAGCTGGAGAACCCCAAATTACCTCGCATAAGGGATCACTCTATAGCATCTGTCCCTTTTTATTCCCAGAAGTGAAAACAATAGCTATCGCAGTAAAAAGAGAAATAGCCTAACATGGCTATTCTAAAATCTCACCAAACACTAAAGGTCTTTTATGCCGTACTACTAAATAGTGAGGAGATTCAAAGATGGTCTACACCTCAAACTTTAAACAGACTTGAAAAATTGCCTTATTGCATTGCAGCAGCAAATGGTCTTATTCTCACCACCTCAAATTAGTCTCCATATGCTCCAGAAGAGTTCTCAGGTATCAGAACTAAAAAACTGGACGATCACACTAAGATAACATGGTATTAGTGCTATTCTCAAGGCTGCCTTCTAACCCACAGGGCCTCTAAACTAGCAGTACCACAAACCAACCATTAATTTGCCTTCTCCACAAGAACAGTACCAGAGGAATCAGATTCAGCAAGTTCCATCTCATGGGCTCCAAAACTTATCCTCCTAGCTTATGCTGCATTTCACTGGGCATTTCTAAAAACCCCTGAAGTGGTAAAGTCCAGTAAGCTCCTGCAGCCTTACAGCAACTCACAATGAATGCAAGTCATTACCATTTTAGGAACAAATTAGGAAGCAATTTGTTTGTCTAATAGTTTGCATTTTGGTGCAGATAATTATGTAGGGCAAGGACATTTATCTTTACATGGCTATTGTGCAACTGTCAGATAATACTGTTAACAATATTCTTTTTGATACAACACCAGTCTATAGGTAAGAAGACCAAAAAAATACAGAAGTAAGACAAAACAACCTTGTTTTGAGTTTAAATGCCTCCTCCTTCCTAGTATTGTTGCCCAAAATGAAATAGTACAGTCACTTCCCTGTTAATCTAGTATGCTCCCTTCTTGTGGTTCATAGCAGTCTGAGGAGCAGGCTAGTCAGATGTTGTCTTCCATTATTCCAGGTGCCAAAAGACATCCTTTTGCCATTTAACTAGCTACATAGTTGCCACAAAGATGCCATACAGTTACAGATGGAGACAAAGCAATCTCTACAGTCATGAATAGAATGGGACCAGGACATTAATGATATGTAATCCACCCTTAAAATAAAAAAAAAAAATTCAAGAACCCTTTACATATTTCCCTGCAGATTCTTTTGATATGAAGAAATTAAACACTGGCTTTAAGTTAAGATGTCACACGCTCCCTTTGAACTAGGCAGAATTACCCAAACCCCTCATTTAAATACAATCATATGGACAGAAGTTTGCCTTAGTCTCCTACAATTTCATAGCCTTAAGGCCTGAATTCTGAGACACTTCACACACTGCTCTCTCTACTTAAAGTACCAAATGCTTCCCAAAAAACCTGCAAACAAGCACCTTGCCTGGCTTAGAAAGGTCTAAAAGCTGCCTCTGCTACAAGGTCCCCTCCTTTGGCTTACAGTGCTTTGCAACTGCGAAAAGCATAGGACATTATCTGTTGGCAATTTAATTTTCCAGAACTATTTGTATTATGCTCCCCCCCCACCCCAGTATTTACTCTGTCAGCAGCCACTGAGTTGTTTCTGGGACTGAGCCACTGCTCAATTAAGATGAGCTTGGGCTATGCTAAACTACCGAGGTAACAGCTAAAGTAGAAGTAGAATTAATATATTCAGAACAGCACTAATGGCAACAGTTAAAGCATCGCACTTACTAACAAGTATTAGAGCACTAGCTAGGCAAGGAGAGCACTTTGAGTTATTCAAACTACCATTAAAGTAGGGATCCCCACACTGTTCTTTTTAGGCTTCAGTTCCACTGTTAGCAAAGATCATTACTACATTGGAATCAACAGCTTTAATCACAAACCATTTCCCTACTTTAATGAATTATGGGAAGTTTGTGAAATACTGGGCTATAGAGAACATAAAACAGCTAGATGCATGTACTGTATACTTGCTGACTCAGATCACCATTTCAGAACTTTGCTATAAGACTGAGCCTGCATGAAAAGGGACATATGTGGGTAATTACTAGAAGTTTTCTTCTGCTTCATGTCCACCAGTAAGGTGCTGTTATAAAAAACTTTCTCTGATTTCACATGAAATGATCCCCCCACATGGTTTGTCTACTGGCCTTCATACTAGCACTGCAAGAGGAACTACCCTAGAGATCAGGGTGACAAAAAGAATGAACAATAAATATCATTGCAAACACATTTAGACTAAAA